AATTGGGAAAGGTCTGGAAGTTTCATTGTTTAGGGAAACACGGAAACAACGTTTTTTAAGTAGGCCATGACAAATTTTATAAGGTATCCTGGGAAATTCATTTCAATGAGCCTGTGCATTTCACCTATCTAACACCAGCCGAAGTCCTCGAGGCCTTAACCAAATACCACTCCAATTCCATTGGAGTTGATGGCATCCCTATCCATTTTCTTAAACTCTGCCTCCCAATATTACTACCTGTTCTACTTCACATCTATAACTACTCACTCCAAAACTCTATTTTTCCGACAGCCTGGCAAAAATCTCTTGTCCACCCTGTCAATAAAACCTCCAATCCAACCTCCCCTACAAACTATCGTCCCATTTCCATCCTCTCACACCTGTCCAAGCCCCTAGAAAGATTGGTCTAAGCGCAAGTCTCCAGGCACCTTGAACAGTCCCATCTTCTCAACCCCCTCCAATCTGGCTTCCGCCAAGATTATTCCACCCAATCAGCACTAATAAAAATTACCAGTGACCTCCACTTAGCAATGGACCAACGGAATGTTTCTATAATTGTCATTCTTGATTTTTCTAAAGCCTTCGATTCTGTCCCTCACTCTTCTCTCCTCTCTAAACTCGAATCTTTTTCCTTCTCCGCCAGCACCATCCGTTGGTTCCACTCCTACCTTACCAATCGCCATCAAGCTGTCTCCCTTCCCAATGGCCTTACCTCCTCCTTCCTCTCTCTAAAATCTGGGGTGCCCCAAGGCTCTCTCCTATCCTTTTTTCCATTTATATCAATCATCTGCACGACTCCATCCAGTCCTGTAACGATCACCTATATGCCGATGACTCCCAAATATACATATCCTTCCACCCTTCCGATCTTCACTCGGCCATTCTCAAGATCCAAAAAAAACCTAAACTCCATCAACGAATGGGCCCATAAAAATTCCCTAGTCCAGGCAACTCCACAATTCACTCCCCAGCAACCCACCTCTCATGCTAAATAACCATCCCATCCCTTTCTGCTCTTCGGTTAAAAACCTAGGAGTAGTCTTTGACCAAAACCTTTCCTGGCATTCTCACATTGCCCAAATTTCCCGCCATTCCATTGCCTCCCTCAGCCTGTTTCGTCGGCCCTGGCTTCTCTTACCTTTCTCCACCCGCAAACTCCTTTTTATCTTCCCTTATACTTCCCTTCTTCGATTATAGCTGTTTGGCATACGGTGGCCTCTCGGAGTGGGAGAACGCGCGATTAAAGCGTATTATGAATTGTTGCGTAAGATTTGTGTACGGCACCCCAACTTTCCTGACTATTCCCCTCCTTCCGTGCACAGTATTTCCTAGGTTGCTTTCTTTTCCAGTCCATCCACACTCGTCGTCCTCCTTACATCATCCAATCCCTCCAATTCAACTCCTCACATCTCACTCGTAAGACCCGCTCATCCCCAATTGACCTCATCCTTCCGCAACATACAACCCATACTTTCGAAAGATCCTTTCTGATCCGAGCCCCTAAACTCAGGAACTCCCTTCCCCTTTCTATACGTCACGCTGCCTCCTTTTCCTCCTTTAAATCTCACCTGTATAATCACCTCCTCTCCCTTCAAGCAGAGACCTCACGATAACATTTGTTATTTTTGTTAATATTCTCGTAATTTTTTCTTCTGGCCGGCCTTATTTGTATACATTGTGCCAAGATTTCTATATTTTTTTTTTACTTTTAACTTCATAGAAGGAATTTCCTTTATTTATTTCATGTAAGTTATTCTTAGGGGACACCAGTCCCAGAATAAAGTTATTTTTCTTTTTCTTCTTCTTCTTCTTGTATACTATACCGTCCTGCCAGACCGAATCAAAGGCCTTCTCCCATAGGAGGACCATCCCAGACTTGAATGTTGGAAATTCCCAACGATTGTAATTGAAACCAGTTCGTCCAAACAATAATTTCCATTCGGTTACCATTGGCAATCACCTTATTCCCGACAGCCCACCGTCAAGAGAATTAAGATTCTGCCTTTTTAGATCTTGTCCTGTAAGCCCAATCAAGCTGATTTTCCATCGTTGCTTTTCCACTTTCCACCAATGCACGTAAAAAACGACTTCTTCAAAAAACCGTAAGATCATATGAACACTCCAGTCAAAATTATTCCACCCCTATGTGGTGAATGTAACAAAAGTCTCAAGACCAGGAGAATACCTTGGGTGTCAGAAAACGAAAGATGGAAAATAAACAATCAGACAATCTAGCCAGACGAGGACATGCAAGATGATCAATAGTCCCAAAGACGTGTAGGTCAAACTGCAAATACAAAAAACTGTTTTAAACAGAGTTATTTACTACCGTACGACCTGGTAAACTTCAATGGAATGTAGAGTTATTTACTGATAACTGGCATCTGAGAAAACACCTACACAACATGGGTATAGACAAAGATAGTCTTATTACAAGGTTATGCAATGAGGAGGAAGAAACCACGTACATCTTCCAACGCAAAGTAATAGCTCAACGAAGACATAATCTTCCAAGATGATTCAATTGAACTAAGAAAAGTGCAGTAAGCCAAAACGCTGCAGTACTTAAGTAATAACCAAAACTTCTTTTTTTTTTTGTATCCTCCTCCTCCTTATCATCATCATCTCACCCTTTTGACGTCTATCTCTCTCCACAAAGAATTATAGTTTTCAGTCGTTTCTTATCCGGCATCCATCAATCTAGAATTTCTTTATTCACTCTATCCACCAAGCCCCATACTTTCCACCTTTATTCCCCGTCTCTTTGCTTACCCCCTTTCTTTACAACTTGCACCAAGGGTAGTTCATTGTCCCTTTTTAGTTTTATTACTGCTATTATTATCATCATAGAGTTTTAAAACTAATTTTGTAAAAATTGCTCTCATAGCTCATTTGGCATACACATTAATATCATCATTGTTGATGAAGAAGAAATCGACCACGACGATTTATGTGTTTGGGATCTGGTTTCTGGTCAAGTAGAGAAAGAAGTAGACTCTGTGATCACTTGCCAATCTTTCGGCCTTTATTAGACCATCATCAGGGTACCATCCTATTCCTCATATTAACATTGCATAATTACGAAAAAACCCGACGACGTTATGAAGATTTATATTAGATAACGTTTCTTTATCGACTGGACATTGGAAAAACCACTATCCTTGGAAAAACAGAAAAACATGTCTTAGTTCAACTTAACGAACCTCATGTACTTTGAGACCTCGTAGTCGATGTCAGTGGTTTTTTTCGTAATTCTGCAATGTTGATATGAGAAATAGGATGCTGCGCTGATGATGGTTTTATAAAGGCCGAACGCTTGGCAAGTGAACACGAGTCTACGTCTTTTTCTAGCTGAACAGAAACCACATCCCAAACACATTATGACCTTTCCTACTTTCTTGAAAAATAAAATAAAATAAAAATAATCATTTGCTTCAACAAAATACAAAAAGATAATTTTTAAATTGTAAATTGTAACTATTTTATCAATTTGTACGCAAACTATGTATCCATCTGCATTTTGTACAAGACTCGAATTCCTAAACAAATTGAAATAAAATTAATTAAGGTTTTTAGTTGAGATAATAAAGTCAGTGTAACGAGCGGGATTCGAACCCACGATCTTCGGCTAGATACGCAGCTGCTCAACCGCTTGAGCAATCGCGACCTCGATCCACTCGGACACTAACTTCCCATCTCAACCCCACCTTTTGAAGTTTCCCATTTTTCAAATGTCGTGTAATCTATTTGATTCTCGGCGACAAATGAGATAGCCTCGGAGAACTTTAGTCCCCACTTCCCATCTCAAGTTAGTGTCCGAGTGGATCGAAGTCACGATAGCTCAAGTGGTAGAGTAGCAGCGTGTCTAGCCGAGGATCGTGGGTTCGAATGCCGCTCGTGACACTGACTTTTTTATCTCAACTAAAAACCTTAATTAATTGAAAAATATTAATCGTTCAAGCGGACCACGAAAACTAGGGAATTAAACTAAAAATGATTAAAAGAAGAATATTATCATTTTTATCTTGTATTTTTTTTGCCCATCCATCATCCATCCATACTTTAGGGCGACCAAATTTTTGGTTAATAATGGTAAAATTTTGGTTCTGCAAAAAATGCCTTTTATTCTTTGGCCCTTACTGTTTAAGGGTGTATATTTATTTAGTGTGATATACATTCTGTTAAAAAACATATCGTATATTTGTATGAAACTTAAGTAAATAAGTTATACTGTTCATAATTGACTATTCAATGAAGCATCACGTTCCAAAATAAAGTTGTTATTTTATTTTCATTAACATTAGGCTTCTTTTTAGATTATGAGTATTAAAAACTAATTTTTTCCTATACTTTCAAAAAATATATATTATTTTTTATGTTATTTAGATTTTTTATGTCTTTTATTATTTTTCAAGAAAAATTATTACAAGCTATGATTTGCATTAAAATGTCACCCATAAACTCTTTCATCTACTAGTAAATATAAATTCGCGAAATATAAAGGTTAGGGTGTTTCATGTTTCATGAACGCAGATCAAAATAGAAATTTAATTAATATTTTATTTTGTCCAGACTTCAAAAGAAACTAAGTTACCTAATCGTATATTCAGACAGGTAAGCTTTTGTTCCGTTTGTTGTGAAAACCTGCCAAAGTTATAATCGCTGAAAACTGCAATTTTCTCTTCTGTATTGTCTGAATGGCCAGTTGCTTTTTTCCCTTTGGCGTGGTCAATTTATGTCGGTCGGGTTAAAATTTGCCTCTTTCAGCTTTGCTCTAGGTTTATTGTTTTATCGTTTGATGTTGTATAAAAACCTTTAAATTGTAGAATATTTAATTCTCATTGATGACGATGTGATTGACAGTTATATTTCGAAGTTTGACGTGGTGAAAAATAATTTTCGCAGACAACTGCAGATAGCCCCATGCTTTTCAGATTCCTGTACGGTTTCGTTCAAAAAGGTTAAGTTATCCTTAAATAATTATTAAGAGCTGTACTTACTCTAGTTGCGCTCTGCTCAGCCAAAGGAAAGCATGGAACAAAAACAAATTGAAAAATGCAAATTAATGCCAGTGTTTTCTTTTTTCGAATTGTCAAATTAAAAAGAAATTGGGAAAATAAGAGGAAAGGTTTTAGTGCAAGGAATATAAAACATACATTCTGGAGTGCATTCAATAAAATAGTTTAGTGGTGCAGATAAAAAGTGAGAAAGCCGTCGAAGCATAATAAATAAGCTATATAAGCATGCACAAGCTATTTAAATCATTGCAAAACATGCAGAATATGAATAGCCAAGTATTACAATTCCTTGATTTTTTATGTATGTAGTAGGTTGTAGAGGCGATTTGATTTAAAGAATATTTGTAAATTGAGCCGAAGGTCGTGGGTTCGAATCCCGCTCGTGGCACCGATTTTTTTTCATTTCATCCAATACCTTACATAAAAAGAATAATTAATTTAATGATGTCATTTGGTCAATCGGACCACGCTATATAATGGATTTAATCTATAAATACTTTGAGCTGTCCTAATATGTTGATTATTCATACACTAATTGAAATACAAAATTAAAATTTATTTAAGACATTAGGAAATTGAACATTTGATATAAATAAAATATTAGCTCTGATATGAAAATCAATTTTTTTCAAATGTAATCAGTTCACAGGAAGATAGACGACGGAATGGAATTCAAAATTGACGAAGCTTAACGAACCTGCACTTTTATCTGTCTTCAAAAATGTGATACAAAATAATCAATCCTATTACTAAAGAAATTGTAAATTGTGCAAGTTGAAAATATGCAAAGATATTTTTAAACCAATTTACTTATTGGTTATTTAGTTTATAAGCGAATTTCGTTTATTTTTTCAATTTAATATTGAAAAACCCCTACGATCAGATCGTTTCTTTCCTTTTCTATAATTTGTTTTTTGGCTTGTTTGCAGACAGAAATTACCCGATTTCTAATTACACGAGATTATAATTGTTTCAACTTGTAAGATTTACACACCCTTTCGAACCCCTCTGGCGACCGGTTTTAATTTGAAAATGGAAAATAGCCCGAACCCCGTGTGATTCAACTAAAGGCTGTAAATCAAAATCAATTGTCCCCGTTTGGGCCCTGAATCATTGTTCCCATGATGGGCCCGATTTGGCCCACACTCGCGGCCAATACAGTGCAACCTGTTATAATAATTTATTTAAATTTGAATATTTTGTTTGGGCTGGTCTGTGTGTTTTCAGTGAAATCAAGACTCTTTCAAAAGGTCGTGATGGGCCGGGTTCGTCTGTCAGTCTTTAGTGGATTAAGTATTTAACTAATCATCGCTCTTTATTTTTTAAATATTTTATGTAGATGTGTAAATATTTATTGAAAAAAAAGGTCTTGATGCGTCTAGAATAACACCAATAGGATTTTAAAATTCACACTTCTATAAATCGGTTTTTAACATAGATTTTTAATATATGGCAAAGAGAGGGAAAATTAGAAAGTTTGTAGCTTGAGATGGTGGGATGGTTTCCCGTATACTCAAGCTACTTGAGGAAGTTCCCCAATTTTTTTTTTTTTTTTGTGAACTGAATCCAATGAAACTTTTACGAATCGATTGGACCACAGCAAACCGTCCTAAATTGTGGTCCAATATACAAAAATGGAACAACTATCACTTATAATCATCATGGGTATGTTTGTCTATACCCTGAATTCAGTGAAACTGTTCTCGAATCGATTGGACCTCAGCAAACCGTCCAAAATTGTAGTCCAATATGCAAAAATGGAATAAATATCACATATAGTCATCATGGGCATGTTTTTCCCTTTACCAAACATGATATTTATATGCTGGTTCGTGAAATTTTTACTGACTAAAAAATATTTCTCTACATCGGCTATTACTACTTCGACTAGGAAACCTTAAAACCAAACACAAAACATTGAAGAGAAAAATAATTAAGGGGTGCTATACGTCTGAAAAAAAATTATCGATTTTTTTGCTTGCTTTGTAGAAAATTATTTTTGAACAGAAATTGTAATTATTTTAATCAAATTACGTTTCCCAAGTTAAAAAAATGTTTTTCTGAGAAAAGTCATGTGATTGAGGGAGTCATGCAGAGTCAGGTAGAATGACCTCATTCTTTCCCTTTGTTAAACTGCCTTTTGGTTTTTTTTCCGTCTGTTTTCCGTTTCGTTTCCAAACTTTTTGAGTGTGTGTTTTGTGTAAAACGGGTAGGAAAAACCTTTGACAAAATGGTAAGGATCAGAACACTTTGACACCAGCTTTAGTTTCGCTGGCAGTAGCAACGCCAGAAGTGGTAAGTTTCAAATTTTTGTGGTTTCTCGAATTGATTTTTCCCCCTTTATGCTATTAATTTAACAATATTTAGGCATTATTCCCAACTTCAATTCAAGCCCGCAATTCAACTAGTAAATCCAGAATGTCTCCACCTGGTTTTTCATATTATGGCCCATCTTCAAGTGCATCATTCAATTCAAGAGATTCAATATTCTCATCTCTACTTTGAGAATGTGAGCTGTCCTGATGATAGTTGTTTACCTTATTGAGAACTCCATCGAAGGAACAGGAAGATTATTATATGGAGGGTAAATTTTTATTGGCTTAACATAAATAAACTGTGAATGGTTTTCTGAAATTTATTTTTGTTAGTTCTTCGGTTTTTGGTATTGAGGTACGATCTGTTTTTCGAAACAAAACATGGTTTTTTTAAATATTTTTTTATATATTAAAAAGTCAAGACGTATTTCGCAAAGAACGCAAATTGGATCCAGGAGATGCCAAGCATTAAAAGGTTTTCAATTTTTTTTTTTAAGTTTCGAACGAAGTGTTCAGGTGTATTGCCTTGATGAAATTGCAACTTCCTATCTTTTAGGTAATTTGAAGACTTTAGTCTTTTGTGTTCATAATGTACATTATGCGTCAAAAATTACCCTCCAAACTATAACATCGCCTCCTACGACAACAGTATTTATGTCTGTAAATTGGACGGAAAAAATGCGAGCTTGATCAGAAAATCGCTTCTCCTGCAAAGCTGTATTTTTCAACATTTCGGTACACTTTTCTTCAAAACAATTTATTACCTTGAAAAGATTCTTTTTTTTTAAATTTTGTAGTAACAAAAAAAGCAAATCATTTTAGCAAGCAGTTCTTTGAAAAACACCCAGGAACAAAGAAATATTTTTCTTACGTAGCAATAAAAGGTGTAAATTTTCGTCACAATTTTAGGTTGTGGCGAAAAAAAAATTAACTATTTTCAAAAGTCTTGAGCTATAAACAAATAAAAAAATAAATAAATAAAACGATTGGTTGTATAGACTAAATAGAGTTTGAGAAAATAGTGCTAAAAATGGTAACTTGTTTTTTTCCTTTTGAACAAGTAAAAGAGGCGTCGGTGCCGCAACGGTTTAGGCGTTTACACGGCGCTCATCACTGTAAGGAAAAGGTACCGGGTTCGAATCCAGCGCCCTGCGTTCGAATCCGACATACTTACAAATGGGCTTTTTTTTTTAAAAACACCGGCACCCCCAGGATTGATATCACCTCTGCTGTTGCGAACCCTCATAACAAAAAATAAAATAAATGACCTTCAAAAATAGGTTGAAAAATACAGAATGAAATTTAAATTTTTCAAAATACAGATACTTTTGAAAGTAACGCGTATCAGAATTAAGTTGAAAAAAGTTAACAGCGGAGTTAAAAAAGTAAACTAGGAAAGAACCAGCTGTTATTCTGAAAAACTTTCGCCAACCCCTTAAAGTTAACGTTCAGCGGCTAAGTACACTTACCATTTCGCTTCGATCAATCTGGCATTTATGATAAATACCAGATCCGGTAAAAGGATTGAAACAGACAAACTGTCGTAAATATGGCCGAATATGCCCAGGAGGATAACAATAACATCATCCCTCAGGCATAGAAGGCCCGACTTTTTGGAATCCATGAATACTGATAAAAATCCAAACACGTATACGATTCAGAAGCAGGTACCGAATATTTTATTTACCATTTCTTCCCCGGTCTAATATTATCAGGATTTGGGCGAGGCGAAATAGAAAAGGCTCAATAATGCTGTCTGTTCCTGAATTTGCCACCCCTTTCAATGAATAGTGATTGTTGTCACTGCTTTTTATTTTCAAAACCATTTTTATTAGAAGAAGACAAAATAAATACTAACAAAAATACTTTACTAGAAAATTACAAAAAAAAATAAATACAAATAAATAAACTGCGAAAAATAAATATGAAGTATAAAGAGCACTTTTATATAATATTTAGATAACCCTAATGAAAATAATTTTTAATTGTATAAAATATTATTGAATTATTGCTTGTGTTTCTCAACATTGGCGTGTCGATAAAATTTAAAAACATCCGTATTTACCTTGAAACGCGATCCTCGGGAAAGATAATCAAAAACGTCTCAGAAAGGTAAATAGCGTGCATAAACATATGAAATATTTTCATATAGGGTAAAGCGGGATAGTCCGATTTGGATTTAACTGATCTCTAAATAATCGATTACAGGGGGAAAGGATTTCGACAATCCTCTGGGAAATCACGTTTTTCCCTTGAAATCTTATAAACTGAAATGCAAATTCTCTTTAGTATTTTTCTTTTAATATCATCACGCTTTAAATCTGTTTTTCTAATAGTACCTGAAAATTATTGTTTTTTAATGTGTGCAATAATTGTTTAATAACAGTAATTTATAATACTGCTTGAACGTTTTTCTGTTTAAATAATTTTACAATCATCATAATATACATGGCGTCTCAGACATGTAGCGACTCTCCACATTTTTCTCTAATCTCTTTAAGCTATAAAAATGTTAAATGGTAACCTGATATTTTTTTTACAGAAGATATTGGTGTAAATAAATTTTTGAATATCGATGTAATTTTGCTTTTTTAATGGAACCTAATAATTTCATGAGCATCATAAGTAAAAGGTTGCTAAACAGATTAAATAATTAATTAATTGAGGAGAGAAATGTAT